TAACCATCCTTATAACCATTACTCTGAATTCTTTCTCTGATAAGTTAGTAGCCTCAATTTCATTTAACTTCCTTTCTGGTGATTTCTCTTTTTCTTTCCTTTGTGGATTGCCTTATTGTCTTCTCATGCTTTGCTGTAATGTTTTAACTGTAGCTCAGATTGCTTTGCTACCCAGTTTCTTTAGGGTATGGTGACACTGGTGTGGCCTCTCAGGTCTCCTGGGCTTGGTATTCTACTGTAGCTCCTTACTTGGGCTATTGGGGTTCTCTTGATGTAGGCCTGTGAGCTGGAAAGGCACAACTGAGGTGTCTAGAAGTCAGCAGCCATGGAGGGGGGTGTTCCAATTTTTGCTGTCTTATGCCCTTGGTTGAAATCATGCGTGCCCCACAGGGACTCACAGTGGCACGCAGGAACCGTCTTTTGGGGTGGTGGGGCTCAGGAAGCCTGCGTTCTGGCAAAACGTGACTGTGGTGTCCAGAGTTCTGTAGTTGTGGGGTGGGTAGAGTCAGCTTTTGCTGCTGCCTCCATGGTTGAATACATGCGATTCCAGCGGCTGCTCACAGAGGCACCTGTGGTGTATTTGCCAGAAAGGTGTAGTGACTCACTCTGAAGGGCCTTGGCACTGAAGCCACTGGATTGTAGTGTCTGTGGGCAGGTATCCCAGAAGAGGGAATTCAGCGTTTCTACAGCCCAGAAGTGCGCCCGTGTTTGTTTAAGTGCATGACCAGCAGGGCTCGCAGTGGGGCCCCAGGGCTGCCTGTGGAGCGGTGATCTTAGGAGACCTGCACGCTGGAAAAGCATGCAACTGTAGTGTCCAGATTTCTGCATCTGTGGGTTGGGGAAACTCAGATTTTGCTGATGCACCTGTGGTGGATAGGCTCGCATTCCCTGTGGCGGCACACAGGAGCACTCGCAGTGAGTTTGCTAGTGCCGGTGCACTGAAGCACTCTGAAGGTCCCTGGCACGCTTTGGGCAGGTATCCAGGATTGGTGAATTCAGAATTTCTACTGCCCAAGGGAGTGTGTCCCTATTAGTCCAAGATCAGACCCAGCAGAGACTCACCGCTCCTTCCCCAAAATGCCCTGTGGATAGATGGGCTCAGTGGGAGTGAACATCTGTGGCAGTGCAGTTCTCTGGCACTGAGCTCTGACACACTCTGAGGGGCCCTGGTGCTTAAGTTGTGCAGCTGGGTGTGTGTATGCAGTTATTGAGGCAGAGGGAATTCAGAATTTCTACTGGGGGTAGTGCGCTTGTGTCTGTACAAAATCACACCCAGCTGAGGCTCACAGTGACTGCTGAGAGAAGGGTATGCAGTGGTGTGCCTGGGAGACCTGCATGCGGGAGACCTGCATGCTGGAGATGCACAAAAGTGATGTTGGAGGTCTGCAGATGGGGAGGGGGTGGCTACACTTACTGCTGCAGGCGTGGTGGAGGTCCCAGGGTCTGCGAGTCTGTGGGTGTGGCTGCATGATTTTGGCTGGAGTGGCTGCCGGGTCGCAGGCAATGCCCAAGGCCTGTCTGGGTGATGGTGCTGCTGAGTTCCTAGAAGAGGCCGCTCTCCCATTCAAGATGGCGTGGGCTCCGTGCCCCGGTCCCACAGTCCAGGGAGTGCCCCCGCGGTGGTAGTCTCTCTGTGTCCCATAGAGCCTGGTCTGTCAGCCTCTGCTGCTCCTGCTGGATTTAACTGTCCCTCACTCACTCACTCACACACACACCACACACATCCACACACTCTCCTTTCATCCCCTCACTCACTCACTTCCTATCCCTCACCTCAGTCCTGCCAGCCGCCACCTTCAATAATCTTTCCCCTAACACTTTTTTTATACAATATCTGAAGTTGATTGACTCCCCCCTAAATATTTTGCTGATATATCTTTCAGTGCTAGGTCTAACACAAAATGAGCTTATGGAATAGAACCTCAGTTGTAGCGGAAACAAAGAAAAAACTTCTTGTGTTTGGTTTGTTCATATTACTAATACATCTGATCTGAAAGACGGTGAAAGTAAATTTCAACCTGTCCTGAAATTGGCCAGAGCCTTTCATATGGAATGTAATGTTGTCAATTTCATTTGCAGTATACTATCAGCCATACCCAACTGGAAACAAGAACACTGCAGCTCTCAGTCTGGCATTATGATCGATTTGGACATAACAGCTTCCTTGGGGAGGTGGAGATTCCTTTTGACTCATGGAACTTTGAAAATTCAAGTGATGAGTGGTTTGTACTTCAGCCCAAGGTAGGAAATGCTTCCAGATTAGTCAAACAATTATACAATGAGTCAAGTTATGAGCCGCATTGATATCTTCTAATTTTCAAGGGATAATCTAAAAAATTAGTAGTACAACTAATTTTGGAATCATGTAATAAATGTAAATATATTCTTTTGTAAATCTTTATTCAATACAATGCAAACCACATAATCACATATATTATTGCAAACCACATAATCATATATATTATTGCAAACCACATAGTCATATATATTAAAATATGCTTTACTAAAAATATATATCATTTGGAGGTCTCTATTGATAAAATAAATACATGATATGATCCTATTTGAAAGAAAACACATTCATTTTCACATAAACAAAAACAAAGAGAACACATTCATTTTCACATAAACAGAAACAAATCTATAGAGCAAGATCAGTGTCAAAACATTCTCTCTATCCCCCATTCTTTATAATTCAGGCATAAGCAGGAGTTGTCTTACCTTGGCTCACATGAGGAAGTGACCAATAGCTAATATATCTGGTTTCCTACTTTCCTACTTTTGAGATTCATAACCCAGGACTTGAGTTATAGTCAGAGAAATAATCTCTATGCTGGTTCTAGAAATTGATAATATGGTATGTTGTAAACTACCTTGGATTCATTCAATGCAGCTGGAATCCTTCTACAGGTAGTCAAGAGTAAAGTGGAAAAAAAAGATCATATTTACATAACCAAACATTTTTCTTTATATAGAAAGACAAAAGAAGAAGAAAAAGCATGATAGTAAAGATAATGGACTCAAATGAAAATTCCTGAGTTTAATTCTGGTAGCTTCATGATTGTCTGTGTGAACTTGGGCAAATTCCTTAACTTCTCAGGTTTTGGCATTCTCATTTGTGATATAATAATTTGGCATAGCTTATAGGGATGCTACAAGGTTTGAATGTGCATTTTATGTGATGCTCACAGTATTGTGTCTGGCACATTGTAAACTCTCAATAAAGGCTAGGTAATATCTAAATTATATCACAGTCCCCTTATTGCAATTGACAGAAATCCCAACCCATACTGCTCAAAAAGGAAAAGGAAATTATCGGTCAGTGATTATCAAGCAGGGCTTGATCTACTTCTCTGTGTTGACCTAATTTTCAAACTTCATACAGTATTTGCCTTCTTCACTAGCTCCAGGTATGTTTCTTTTGGACACTACACAATTTCAAGCCTCCCATCCTAGCACCACACTGTCTAAGAGAAGAGGGAGTTCCTCCACCTCCAATAGTCTAACCAATACCCTGGGCCTGGTTATCCTAATCCTAGATTATTTGCCCATCCTGAAATGACACTTTGGCCATAGAAGTGAGCTATGTTGACTTATTTAAGACAATCAGAACACATCCTGGTCCTAAAGGTGGTATTGCCCCAGAGGAAATCCAGGTATAGTAGTACTAAAGGAACGGTGAGTGGATGCTAGACAGGAAAAAGCAACGGGTATCAACAATAACAAATGTTTGGGTATCAACAATAACAAATGTTGATCATCATCAGTAGCAGCATTGTTCACATCTAATGGTTACAACAACCATTGTGAGCTAAGTATCATTATCCTCATTTTACATAAGGAGACTGAGACCCAGAAATTAAATACAACTTTCTAGTGGGATTTTATAAATTTTGGTCTCAAACATAGTGGCAATAACTACTGAAAAAAAATATTTAGGAGGTATAATTTGGCTGTGAGTAAAATTGACAATATAATAAAAATATTTAAACATAAAATAACTGCAAGCCCATCACTAACATAAATGTGATAGAGATACAAAGTACAATAATAACAACAAATGATTCCACAATAGTATAACAGTCTTCTGACAATATTTATGGAAAATATTTGGTCATTACAGCTTTACATTTCTTGGAATTGAATGAGATGACTCACCATAATGGATGGCACTAACAATCTCCTATCACTTCATTCCTTTTGTGTATGGGTGAGCATCATAAAATCATAGATAGAAAATGTCTAAGGCATCATATGATGCATGACATAGATGAAGGATGATTAACATGCATTTTAGTACGTAAAATCAACTTCTTTACCATAAATTTAACTTTAAAGCATATTTGGGGCTCTTTGGAAATCAGCTTAGAATATCCTCTGTGCTCAGGTAACAACAACTTTTCCAGGTAATTACTTTCACATTGCCATTGAGTGGTTTCACTTTCTAATACCATAAGGAGAAGCATCTCTCTGAGCCTGCTCAAGGTAGAAAAGTTCCGATTGTGTTTAATATCTGTTGAACTCAGTTGGTTCTCTGCCAAATGACTTTGGATTCCTTTCACCAAGTTTGTTAGAATTTTTGCCTCCAACCACCTCCACCTGAAACTCTCTTTAGAAAACTGTCCTCGGGTTACTGTGGCTTTTTCCACATGGGAAAAGAGCCAGAAATTCTTTGGAGTTTATGGATCTCCTGCAACAAGGCAACTCTTAACCAACACCTGATAGGTGGCGTGGAGGAAGGGATCTGAAAACTCAATTCCCTTACTTAGAGTTGGAAAAATTTGAAGGTGTTACTTATATTCCAGAGCACTTCTGCTGGATCAGTCTCTGTCTTTGCCTGTATCCTTCTCTTCCCTGACCTGTTTCTCCCACCCCATCACTGGATTATCCTGAGAATACTTTCTTAGTCACTTGTATAAGAATCCTCATCTCAGAGTTCACTTCTGGGGAACCCAATATTAAGTTAGTGTCACTAATCCATGTCATCTTCCTCTGCCAAGCTTCTTCTGAAACATATGGAGGAAAGGCTGCAGGTTTGCATTACATCCAAAAATGAAGGTGGGTATCCTGCTTGGTATGCTGCATTTCACTTCATTAGTGGCTCATCCTCAGGCTGTGCTGCGCTCTGTGTGATGATTAATTATCAGAAGTTTCACTTAATTCTCAATCTCTTGGATCAGTCATTTTGATGCAGTAGTCACTTCATTAGCTGCTATTTGAGCAGCCCCAGAGACTTGATATTTCTTGTAGATTATCCAGCTGAGGAGGTGAAATGTGAGCTACTGGAACTAATTTATTTAGTAATAGAGGATCAGAATTGATATTCCCCAAGCTTTTGGGAATACAGATACGTTTTCGCAGTGGGGAATATTGGAAAGACATAGTCTCTTACTTCTTATTGAGTCTGTGTTAGTGGAAGCCCCTTAACACTTACCTTTGTTTTAGTTAGGTCTTACAGCACTAAGCCAGTCAAGAAGCTATTTCAGACCCAGAAAGAATTCAAAATACCAAACATACTATAAAGTAGTTTCACTGTATAATTTCCATTTTACTGCATGATATGGAATTGCTTAGTAGCTATAATGCATTATGTTACTGAAAGGCATGTTAGGTAGTTAAACAAGAAGGGCTTGTTAGTATGAATTACCATTCATGTGTTCCCAGAGGCACTATTATAAATACAAGTACCTTTGAAAATCAACAGCCAGTTTAAGTGGTTTTCCAAGGAAAATTTCTCTGTTCTGCCTTCAGGCAGAGAGTAAATATAAATTCCTGTGGAATTGATACCTAGCTAAAAGGCTGTTTCTTTATTGGGCAGTTTAGTAAGACATTGGTTTATAATTTATTATCCCATCTTAGACCTGTAAATGCACTGAGAACTCTGCTTTCTACTCTGATGAAAAGTGGCTCCCTCTTAAAAAACAAACAAACAAACAAAAAAACAACCCAGAAGATAATGGGTTGTAATTATACTGCACCCCTGCTCAGAAACCTGACCACTTTTAATGTACTTTGAATAAATCCTAACCCTCACCTTGGCACTCAATGCTCTCTTGATATAACCCAGTCTTTTGAAATAAAGGAGGATGTCGGTGCTCTTCCCATATCCCTATTTCCATGCATACCTGGCTGTCCATGGCTTCCACTCCCACCAGCCAACACCTCTCAGTCTTTGTAGGCTGCTGGAGTGGGTTTGATCTGTGGGCATGGGAAGCCAGAATAGCCTGGGTATTTAAGTCTCCCGGGGATTGAGGACAGAAGGAACAATCACTCTCACTCTCTTGCCTCCTATGGGGCCAGCTCTGAGGTGCTCTGTCTTGTTTATAGATCTCCCTGTGGGACTGAGCAAAAGTTACTCTTCATGAATTTTTGCCTTATATCACAACCTTGTGAGTCTCACTTCACTTTCTGATCCCACTTCTCCACTACACTTCCTAGTAAAACACTCTAACATAAGTTCATGTCTTAGGGTCTTCGGGGAACCCAGAGTAGACACTTTGCTTGCATCTTCCTTGCTACCATTTTCCTGTACACACACCTCTAACCACACCTGATGTTATTTTACTTCTTATACACGTTCTATTCAGTTCCCACTGTATTTTGCTCATACTGCTTTCTTGACCTGGACTAACCTTCTTTCCACTCTATCTTCATCTGACATCATCTCTCCTAATCCAATCTGGATTACTCTTTTTCTTTCCACAGTGGCTTATTTGTACTTAATTGGAGCAACTATCATCATTTGTATGACATTGAACTTGCTATGTAGTAGAAGCCTAGGAGAAGACTCCCAGAAATCAGAACTAATAGTAGGTTTATTAATAAAGTCACATAACATACACATATAAACACATTTCTAAGGCATTTCTTAAATGTTTATTTTAACTTAAGTAAATGTGCATTTGTTTTCAAGTCTTTTAATATAGGAACAATTCACTTTATTTAATCATGGTTTCAGTTACTAAAATTCTGTCATATCTTTCTGGAATAAATGCTACCCCTTATAAATCATCATCAACAGCTTCAAGTCTTAATTTCTCCACAGGGAAACAAGAATTTAAGAATACTTTCAAAGCAAAACAAATATAAAATCTTTCTAAATAGTCATATTTTTTCTAATCTTTTATAGCTTTGAGCCCAATAGCTAATTTATTTTAAAATCTTTAGCTTTTCTAAACTATTCAATTTAATTTTCATAGTAACAGCTAACTTTTTGTACTCTTTGGTTTATTAAATTATAC